TCGTTCCTGTTCATTTACAAGGTAACTAACCAGTACTCCCCTAATAATGCTTGGCTGTGTGTTTCCCAGTAAGTACTGGTTAACTACCCAACAGCTCCTATTTTTTTTTTCCTGAGGTGTTCCCTAGTCCATCCATCCATCCATCCATTATCTTTACCCACTTATTCCATTTTGGGTCACGGGGGTCGCTGGTGCCCATGTCCAGCAATCACTGTGCGAGGGGCGGGGTACACCCTGGACGGGTCGCAAGTCCATCACAGGGACACATTGAGACAAACGAGACAAACAACCATTCACTTTCTCACTCACACCTAGGGACAATTTAGAGTTACCAATCAGCCTAACATGCATGTTTTTGGTCTGTAGGAGGAAACCGGAGTACCCGGAGAAAACCCACGCATGCACAGAGAGAACATGCAAACTCCACCCAGAAAGGCCCCTGGACCGGGGTTTGAACCAGGGACCTGCTCACTGAGAGGCAGCAGCTCTACCAGTTGCGCCACCGTGCTGCCCGTGTTCCCTAGTAGCTAATCAAATTTTGTGTACCTTGTTGTAAAGGGTTACTGGCTAAAGAAGTTTGGTATGAGCACCAGCGTCCTCACTATCTAGGTGCACCATTGAGAGCCTTCGGACAGGCTGCACCACAGGGAGTTATGGGAACTGCATCAGTAAGAGCCAGAAAGCACTACAGAGGGTGGTGCAAACAGCAGAGGACATCACTAGGTATGTTTACATCCGCAAAATTCTTTGACCAAATTGAAATGTTTTCAGATTAAATAATTCAAATGTATTGTTTACATTGGCACTATCCATTCACCATGAGTGTTTACATGCAGTGGACTTTTATTCTTAACAGAAGTACTGAAATGCACAGAGTGGTAAACTGTCCTTAAAAAAAACACAAAAGAAAAAGTTCTAGTTCCAGGATGAATGTAAACAAACCTGAGCGCCCAAAATGGACCCGTGACAGGTTTTAATGATGATGGTGGAGATGTTACTGCACTCCGTGACTGAGCTACAGGTAATACAGATCATTTTGAGCTCTTTCAAAGTTTCAAGTAGAAATGTTGTGTTGCTCACCGACCAGTTTTGCATTCCCGACAAGCTAATATTATTAGCATTAGCCAGATGGAAATATGTGAGGTTGACAGGTCGCACATGCACAGTCAGGTCAGTTTTTCACAATGGGAAAAAAATGAACAGTTTAAGTGTTTACATGCGCACCATTCCGATTATGAATCGGCATAAACCATCTGTCTCATTATGATTACAAAATATTTCGGATCGAGCTGAATTAACAAATAATATTTCAAGTGGGGCGTTAACATGATGCATTTTTATTCCAAATGGCCGTTTATTCTGATTGCTTATGTCCATATAAACATAGTTACTGGTAGCAGTCTCCACACTATCCAGGACATCTACCACAGCCGATCTCTACGTAAAGCACACAGCATCATTAAGGACCACTCCCACCCAGCACGAGGACTCTTCTGTCTATTACCCTCAGGCAGAGGATACAGGAGCCTCCCACACACTACCACACAAAAAGACTCAAAGACTATTTTTACCCACAAGCTGTCAGATTACTGAACTCTTGATAATAATACTGAACTATTGACAATTGTGCCAAACATCACGTGGGACACCTAACTTGTTTATTGCTGCTGCACTACTGTATGTGGCTGTATCATGTATGTCAATACCTTACCAACAAAATTAAATTAATCTCAATGGTATTCACTACCTGTGCAATAACCTGTAAAAAAAACAATAACACAACCTGTGTAACATATGTTAGTTATGTGCAATATATATATATATATCATGTGCATTTATGCTACCTGTGAAATAGGTATTTATACTAATTCATCCTACTTGCACCGTTATTTTTGACAATGGTGTTGTTTACTATATGTCTTTTGGACTTTGTAAATATTATATTTATTTTTCACTTTTGGTATTTTATTTTTGTACCCTTATTGCATGCTTTAGTATTTCTTGTTTGTTCTTTGTTTTAGCAAGTCAAATTGGTTCTTCTCATCCTGAACATTCCATTGCATTGCTGGCCTTGCAATAACCTGCATATGACAAATAAACAACATAATACATGCTTTGTAATTTCAAATTCAGTAGGTAAACAAGGCTTTCTATGCTTCACATTAACTTAATAAGTAAAATGATAACAGCAGAATACTTCACAATATTACCAATGTTGTCATTGATTTATTTTTTCACATGTCTGTGTTTGTATGTTTGGACGGTGTGTTGGCAAACAGCCTGAAGCACCAGTTGGTGGATTTTATTGAAACTGAGAATATTTTTGTCTCAAATATTTTATTTACATCTGCGACTCGTAATTTGTCAAATCAACTAAGTTTAAGATTGGCACCACATCTAAGGAACTGTAGAAAACACAAAGGGGATGCAACTACTGGTGAGTTGTTTGTTTGTTTGTTTTTTGTTGTTGTTTTGAGCTTGGTATGGTTGTAGCTGGGAGTCATTCTGAACTTATCCTCCAAGCAGTAACTGATCCACAACATAGATCCACAACCTTCTCTGGACAGTGGGTATATTGGTAGAAGGATGTTAGAAATGCAGCTGCCAGGAAGAAGACAAAGAGGAAGTGAGGTGCAGAGAGGACAGAGGATGCAGAGGACAGAGTGAGATGGAGGAGGATGACTCGCTGTGGAGACCCCTGAAGAAGGAAAAGCCGAAAGAAGAAGTAGCTGATCCACAACATATGTTTTTAAAATGTTGCCAAAAGGTATCTAAGTAAATCCTGTCTGTGTGCAAAATTTATCATGAACTTTATGGATTAGATTAAACTTTCACAAACTTCAAAATAGTTTGTTCAAAACAGCTCAAGCTCCATCTTTTCTCATCATAAGATGATCATACGTCATAGGGTAACATAGGGAAGAGTTCAAAAAAGTTCAATCTGGTCCTCTGGACATTCAAAAAAAACAAAAAACAAAACAAAGCAAAAAAATCTAGAAACGTTT